TCTGTGCACCGCTGCGTCGACAGTTCACGCAAAACGTATTGGGCCAATAGGGGACTATGGCCGGCCACGGAACGACACTGAGTTGATGATACGGGAGAAGAAGGCGGAAAGGAGGGAAACTGGTGGTGATCTCAACAAATCCCGGGTGGGTGAAGTAGTAGGTGTGGTCGGGAGAAGGGAAATTGGAGCATCGAGGGTCGCTAGAGGTGGCACAGTGAAATTCCCGCGGACATAGCCGATTCTCCGTGTGACAGGGGTATCGTGTCCTTATGAGCTCGTTTATTATAGGGGTGAAATAGTCAGGGTCATAGGACGAGTCCGAGCTTCAAGATCGCGTCATGGTATCATCGTCCATGGGATAGCGCCGGTCGGGATATCGTCACCGCGCACGAGCACGTGAAGGACAGGCAGACTCAGTGGCGCCGCAGCGTGCTCGTACGGGATGATGGTTCCGCCGTGATTCCTTTTTGGGTGAGTGAATCGACGCGCGGGAATGCGTGTAAGGGCGCGACTCGGATCGCGTTTACACGTGTTCTCGCGCGGCGTTCGCGGGACCAGACTTCGGATCGTCGATTATGCAAGATGCAATCATATCGCAACCCCCATCGCGGGATAAGCAAAAACGAGAACAAAATCACTATCGGTGCGAGATTCTTATCCCATCTACAGTGAAATCAGGTGCAGGCGAAGATTCGACACAGACATAACGCAAGGACAGGGATTCTCAGCAAAAAGATAGACAAGCAGTCATAACATCCATACATCCATACATTCGGCANCATCCATACATCCATACATTCGGCAATCATACACATAATGCAAGCAGGACAGACATCGCAAGGACAAATGTGAGCAAAAAGCCAAGGCTAGATTTCAGAAAGCCGAAACGAAAATAAGAACGCGCAAATCGCCCGGACCCGCAATCAAAATGTATGTACACAGATGAAGAGGGGGAAGAGACAATAAAACAGCAAATTCGCGTCCATCGACCTCAACTCTCTCCTCTCTCTCTTTCTCTGCGATGCGGACAATCCGTCGTCACGCACCAACCCACGAAGTTGTCACCCCGCTTAGTCCTCCCGCACCCGTCGGATTCGCCCGTGCCTACAGTCCGCCGTGGCCCACGTCAATCTCGTGCGTTCGGCACCAGCCTGTCGGGTCGCCCAACTCCTGCTCTACTCACTTCTTACTTCGCTCGTGTGCCGCCCTTCTTGATCGCGCAACCCCGAGCTTCCAACAATGGGTTAAGAGAGCTGACTAATCGCGCAGCCGAAATTTTAGAGTGAGGATTAGAGAGGGAACGCCTGCGTTCTGCATGATCGACCGCGGCGTGGGGGACGTAACCCTTCTCCACGCATCGATCTGAGCATGCAAACTGCGGCTTACAAAATTTCAGCAAAAGAAAGAGAGGGAGGGCGGGAGAGACGAAGTGCAAGAAGAAAGATACAGTTACAATGACGCCCGCCCAAAATTATAGTTACACACACGATTAAGGGCGCCCACTAATTAGAGTACCGTTGCAACCGCATGAAGAAGCGCATAGACAAAAGGCGCCGCGCGGCAGAAAAAGTCCTAATTACTGGATTACTAAATTCCTATCTAATGCGAAAAAGCAAAAAGTATAAGTTCCAGAAGGAAAATCCGAAATTCCGAGAGCCATCGGGGGCTCGACAAAATTCGAAAAGATTAAAAAGGAATTTCAAAAAGAACGAAGCAATTTCCCGCGCGATGTCCGCGCCCAAAAGATCGAAATCGAACCGAATGAAACGACGTCAACCTTTATTAATTGCGCGCGTGGTGGCGCGCCAGACATCCATCCGACCAATCACTCCACCGGCCGTCCCAAGACACACCCGCCCCCGTGCTTGGCCATTCGAAAAAGAAACGATGAAAAAGGACGAAAAAGCGAGGACACTGATGCAATTTTACACCGATCCCGATCTCCCGTAATTGGCCCAATCTTTCCAGCTTAGGACCCCTCATTGCAACCGCGCAGAAAATCGCGTGTTACAGAAAGTGGTTCGTCACAGCGATGTGTACCTGACCGCGATCGTGGGCCGGGCTGCTACAGATGGATGGGTATTCCTGATTACGGAGGTGTGCGATCATGTAGGAGAAAGGGGGGAGAGAGAGAGTGTGAGGAGGCGAGTGGTGAGAATGGGGGGGTACTGTGGTGCGGTGGCGGGTTAAAACCGGTTTGGGGTATTGTGATTGTGACGGGGTTGCGATCATGAAGGAAGGAAGGGGGGGGGGGGGTAATACTAGGCTGTGAGTAGAAGGGGTGGTAGGATGCTATGCTGCTGTGGCAAGTGAAGTGATGAGTTGCAGCGGCTCCTGCATGGGTGTAGAGATGGTTACATTTGGAGATCGTGGGAGAGGTAGGCTTACAAGATCGAAAAGGTAAATAGTATGGAGGGGATGGTGTTGAGATGAGGTGGCGGATTGAACGTATCGGGTGACGTTGTGCCGAGGAGGGGAGTTGATGAAGAGATGGGGTGGCGATGTGTACCTGACCGCGATCGTGGGCCGGGCTGCTCCAGATGGCTGGAGGTCAATGTTGGCCGGGCGGGCTTCGATGCCGGTAGAATCCTGCACTAATGTTGTCTGAGGGTTGATGCACCCTGGTACTTATGGTGGACAGGGCACGAAGGCCATGTCCTGATACTCACTGAAAGCATTAAGGTTGATAAACTGTATGCTGGCTCGCTGACGTTCTCGCATATCCCCCCGACTCCAACAGTGGAACGAGTTGGCACGGCTATGGCTATGGTGGCCGCGCAGGATGCTGAGAGACTGTCACCTTACCGGGCTTCATGCTCGGGTGGTGACCGACGAGACCGGCTCTCCCGAGCCCGTAGCGCTACGGCGGAACGCTCCGCGCCGGCCGCACGCTCCCAGAGCCTGGACAGTCCCGTCGCGGACCACTCTCGAAAGTGGCAACTTTGCATGCGGGGGAACGCCACAGTTCGCGAGCACTCCTGAAAACCGAGTTCTGGCCACTGTCGAAAATGTTTCTGACACCGATTTTGGAGAGTTGGTGTGGCTATGCATTTTCTCTCCAAATCGGTGTTTTCGGGATAGGTGTGGCGAGGCCCGCTGTGTGGCGAGCCCCTACTTCGACGGTAACAAATTGGAAAAAAAAATAAAAATTGGAAGCTGCATTTCCTTGATGTTTGGAATCAGGGCCGCGCTCCACTACTCACCACGTGCACAAAAGACACAAACTAGAGCAAACTAGAGCTGTGTATCTTTCCATATTCTAGGGGAAGATTCATTCGCATTTTGCACATCTGGTGTAGCGCGGCCGTCAGTCCAGACAGCACTTCCAGCAGATAGATAGTAACCGGGATACCAGACCCCTATTCCGCGGCCGCTTGAAGCAAGCAAACAGAGGGGCCTTCGAGGTAATCGAGAGCGGTAACGGAGAGGTAATCACGGGCTCTCTGTCCTGGCTCTACCACATTGCATAGGACGGGGAACACGTCACGAGCGCCAGAATCAGCACGTTGAAATTGGCCAATCGATTCGAGTTTGGCGGGTTCCCATGGCTGGAGGCGGCCGGTGCGCACCCCAAAAAGTCTCTTGCCGCCACTTTCTTTTCAGCGCTGTGCCGAACGAGCCAGCCCCTGCCGTCCGATTGCGGACTCTCGCTCTGCACAGTCACGAGCCCGTGGCCCGCGTCCTGCAGCCCTCCGCCCCTCAACCCCCACCCTATCGGGCGACGATCCGCTGGCTAGATGCACGCTTTGCACATACGGCACGGCACGCGCCACCCCCTCCTAGGTAGGCGTAGCAGATGCGAGGGCGCGGGGCGGAAAACGATGGAAGCCGCGTCCGCACTTTTGTTTTTCCGAAAAAATTCTATCGATTGCATGCGCCACGGATTTGTCCTATCTGCGACGGTTGACGTCGCCCGCTCGAATCCGCTGCCGATCTTTGTCGCAGCTCCGCTGGTTCTCTCGCACACGCACCACGCCCAAAGTTCACGTTCACGCGCCCTTCCTCCCCTCCCTCCCTTCCCTCACTTTTCACCACAGCTGGCTCCTCTTCCGCTTCCGCGCCCCCCCCTATCTGCCCTGCCCGCCGGGTGCAGTGGCTCCTCTCCTGCAGCTGCTGCTGCTACTGCTGTTGCTACTGCTACTGCTACTGCGACTGCTGCCGCTCGGACCGGCCGACAGGCGCCAGTGTGCCAGTGTGGCGCTCTCGGCCTCCGCCGCTGTTCAAACATTCCTATTTTGAACGCGTCGCGCGCTGGCTGAGAAGGTGGAGGGAGCTACTCCGTCACCTCCCGCCGTGCTACGTACCCCTCGCGCCCGTCCGGCCGGTCACGCGAGGGCACTGTAGACAGCAGTGGCGGGGAGGTAGGCAGCCAGCGGGGTGGGTGCTCTGTGCTTGCTCGGTTGATGCTGTCCAACCTGCGCTGCACCCCGCAGTCCTCTGTGTACCGTCTCCGCGCTGCGCCTCCCCGGTCGCAATTGCGCGCACGGCGCCGGCTGTGTCGGCCTTGGCTTTGACGGCCAGGAAGCTCTCTCACAGGGCCACAGGCAGAGCGAAGACCGCGGAACGGGGGCAAGAGCAGGAGGATGAATTGGCAGGGCGCCGGGACCCCTGGGATGGCCGGCGGGTCGGGGGACGGATACGTGGGGCGCCAGGATATCTTGGAAGAACAGGCGAAAGAAGCCCAGACGGGATGAAGGCTGTCTCTTCGCTGCATGGAAAGACAAGTGCCTGTACAAACGCCTTCTCGTCCTCTGGAGAACACCTCCCTTCTGCTCCTGCTCCTGCTGTGCCTCCCTGTCTCTCTCCCCTCTCCCCCTCTCCCCATCTCCCCCTCTCCCTTCCCCGCCCCCCTCTCACCTGTTTGTTTTGTAGTGCCGCGCTCGCGCTCGCGCATGCGCATCTGCGCTCCTCCCGTGATAGTATACGTACCTTTTCTCTCTTTGGCGAAACAAACTCGTTCACGCGCATCGTCTACCTTCCACGCCGTCCGTGACGGATGCGTCCATCCATTGTTCGTCTCTCTCTGTGTTCGTTCATCTGAGGCAGCGGGCTCCATGCCCTCCTTGGTCGCCTTGGTCTCCTTGGTCTCCTTCCTTCTTCTTAGCTCCTCAACTGACAGACTCGAGTTCCGCGGCTTGTCCGCGCCTACTACTCTTGGCAGACATATCTCTTTATCAGCGATTACGTGTGACCTGAGGCCGCAGAAGCAGTTCCTTCTCTCTTCGCTCAGTGAGGTTGCTGTTGTCGTCTCATTTCCGTCTTGTTGAGCAGCTCTTCGGCCATAGCGTGCCATTGACTGAGACGATCGGCCGACAAAGCAACCACGCCCTCGGCCAGCGAGGGGGCGACGGCACCGCGCACGGAGAGCTTCGCAGATGAGCGCGGATGCTCAGATAAGCCCAGACAGACGCTCATCAGATCGGTCGATACTTCGCTCTCTTGACTGTCCATATCTCAGAACCCCGTTCTATCTCCCTCGCCATATATCTACATATATTCGGCCACCAAGCCTACCGGGCGCCTTCTCTTCGTGTCCCCTTTCTTCTCTCTGCGCGCTTCTTCTATCCCATCCCTCGATACAGTGGAACTGCGTCTTCTCCCCACCACTTTTTTTGGATGATCATCTCACACCCAAATTCCTTTCCCTCTGGGAATTACTACCATCCTAACGCAACCGCACCCACACAAACACGGACACTATTATAACACAAACACACAAATCTCCCGCACACGTACCGACACAAAACTTTCCGATACAGACACAAAAGCACACACAGAAGCATACACAGACAGACAAAGATGGGGAGGGGGGGGGTTGGGGTTGGTTGGTCATCCACGCAGTTGTATAGCTGATTGATTTCGTATATCGGACGCGATTTTGCAGACGGCGGTAAGTAAAAAGGGGATGGACGTGAAGCTCCTCCTCGGTGCTTTTGTTCACGATCAGTGTATTCCATTTCTATTTATCGAGGAAGGGGGAAAAGGATCGCGGCGATTGAGCGAGAGCATACGTGGTTGGCGAGGCTATTCATTCATGTTACCCCACTTTTTTCAGTTACTTTCGTGAAGGCATCCCGTTGCTTTGCCGTAGCGGAAGCGATTTCCCTTCATCCACGCAAACAGGAAAGCTTTTTTTTTTTCTTTCCTACCTACCTCGTAGATAGAAATTCACCCTGGCAGTTGCGGCTGGAAATTTTTCTGCCAGGAAGACATAGACAGACGAAGAAGACGATGGCTTTCCTCTCATTGGGTCGCGACTCGCATCCTTGGGGAGCTGCCTGATCGATCATCTGCTCATCTGCTCCGTCTTCTAACGGCAATTGCTGGTTAGCGAGACTCTCTCTTTTTTTTTTTTTTTTCGAAGTTAGCGAGACTCTCGAGTTGGAAGGAAAATTCATACGCTCTCTCGCGGCGCGCCGCACACCTATTATCACACATCCATCACACACACACACACACACATACACACACACGCACACACAAAAAACCCAACCCACGAACAAACGCGCACACACTCATACACAAACGCTCACACACACACACACACACACACACTGCCATAGACGTACAGCTATACACTAATCGGACGAAGTCCATGGTCCATGGCTCCACACCGCAGCTCCGGTATAGTGTCGGCTGGGCATTTAGTATCTGATTCGTCGACTTATTTTTAGCAGAGAGTGCGCTCCAGAGAAAAGGTTAGGCCATTCTGGAGAAGTCGTCAGCCTGCTTCCCTCATTGAGTGATTTGCGATATCGGCGCTGCTAGGCGGAGGGCGAGTGAGCGACAGGGGGGCATCTCGTTTACGTCTTTTCTCTTGCAGGGGTCTCTACCACCGTTTGCGTGGCAGTCGGCGCGGGGGGGTCCGGACGCGGGGCATGGTCCAGAAGAGCAGGAAGTTGGGGGCGGGATAGATAGAGCGCAAGAGAGGATGCCAAAATGTGTAGTAGGGTGAAGGGAACAGGAGGGAGGTGTTTCTGAAAGGTGACAAAGTAGGGCTTTGAGAAGAAGCAGAGGGTGAAAGGGAGGAGCGCGGGAGGGAAGCCGTAGGTACACAAGTTTTATTGTCTTGTTTCCGAGGGACAAGGGGGGCCGTTTTTGATGGTCAGTCTGCAAGTGGAGGGGTATAATAGACTCTGCCCGAGAACAGTCAACGGCCGTTCGTCTGTCTGTTTTATGATATTTCTTGTAAATTCTCCTTCTCCCGATCTCTAGATCTCAACGACGTTCCATTTTCCGAACGAAAATCGGCGACTTTCGCCGTGACCCGATGGTTCTCTCCCATGACTTCCTGGTCTGGGCAGTGGCGATTGTTGGGCCAGGGTTTCCAGTTTCTTCTTGTCACATAGACAGTACTTTGCGCCGTGATTGCTATGTAATCTAGTCATTTATTTATTCATCCATTTATTTATTTGTCTTGATTTATTGGCCGCTCCGGCTCCTTTTACTCTCTCTCTCTCTCTCTCTCTCTGTGTCTGTGTGTCTGTCAAGCACGACGTGGCCATTTCCGTGGATTGCCTCAAGCAAATTCACCCCGTCCTATTAGTTGTGGCTTATCGGCTATCTGCTCACCTCCTCACTCCGCGTGCATACTTGCACAAATCATTACGAGGACGCTGAATCCTCCTCTACCATTCCGAGGACGAGTTCCCATTTCACCTTCTCCTTTTCCTTCTGCTGTGCTGCTTATCCTCTCCATAGGCGTCTTTCTCTCCCTCTTTCTCTCTCTCTATCACACTTTGCTTGCTTCCTTTGTCTGCGCTCTCTGCCATTGAATGAATGAGACCTGACGCATGTCGAATCAGGACTGGCTGATTGACGGGTTGGTGATTGATTGGCACCTCGGTGTCACGATTGATTGATTGATTGATTTGATTGATTCGATTGATTTGTGCGAGAGATCGACGGGAGAGGAGGGACGAAGAGTGGGCAGGCCGTGGCGTCTACCGAAGGAAGAGGACTTCTGAGGGAGGAGGAGGAGACGACACCACCGTTGGCTCTCGTTATCTGTTCTTCGTTTCATCCGCCTCGGTCGACTTGGAGGGAGGGGGGGGGGGGGGGGGGGNGCGGGCGACTGCGGTTTCGGCACGTTGCGGAAAAGGCGGTAGTCAGAGGACAAGGCAGAGCCCTCTAAAGGCGTTGGGGGGGGAGTGGGGAGGCGGCAAAAGAATTCAAAGGTGAGCACAGGCGAAGCGAAAGAAGTGGAAGCGCTTTGCGTTGACGTCATTCCTCTGGTCTGATCCTCGACCAAGCGGCTTGTTTGTTTCCTTTTTCTCCATTCTACCGCAGTTATCGAATCGGATAAGGTCATCGCTGGCTAATACAATGGGAACGGGCACTCAAAAGCGCACAATTTACAATCTTTACGAGCAGGGAGGAGGACACGTGGCAAATGGAGCACCGACGGCGCCAACTGCTGCAGGAGCTTTGGCGGGGGACCACCAGAGCGAACGTGTGGACGAGGTGGAGGCGCCGGCGGAGAGGAAGAGACGCTTGACGGCGGATCAGGTGCATTCTCTGGAGCGGAATTTCGAGATGGAAAACAAACTGGACCCTGAGCGGAAGATGCAGCTAGCGCGAGAGCTTTGTCTTCAGCCAAGGCAGGTGGCTGTCTGGTTTCAGAATCGCAGAGCTAGGTGGAAAACGAAGCAGCTGGAAAGAGACCACGACGCGCTCAAGTGCAAGATAGACCAGCTGCAGGCGGAGAACGAGACGCTTCGTATGGAGGTGAGCAACCAAATCCTACCGACTAAACGTACTCCCCGACCCCCCCCCCTCTTTGACCTACTCCACACCGTCTTTGTCAATGAGTTGCTGACCTGCCTGGTTTACAAAATAGGGGGGGTTCCTGTCGTCAGCGAACGACACTCTACTTGCGCGAACACTTGTTCGAAAAGGAAATCAGGTTCTACTTGCGCGAACTACTTGCGCGAACAATCCAACCGACGACAGTGTTTCAGCTGCTACACTGAGTCGGGAATGAATGGCCGACCTGCCAGGTTTAAAAAACGTGTTTACAAAATAGGGAGTTTTTTTTCCTGTTGTGAGGGAAGGAAACTAGTTGCGAATTCGTCTGAAAAGGAGACGAGACGCTCAGCGGTCTTTTATCGAGGTGAGAAAGCAATTCACGAACAACAGAGAACGCTCCGCGGTCTTTTATCTTGGCTAGTATACCATATAGCTGTGTGAATGAATTAGTCACCTGCCTGGTTTACAAAAGAGGGAAGACGAAACACATGGGGAATTCGTGGGAGGAGAAAGCGGTCAAAGAGAGATCGCTAAAGGCAACAGGAGGGATGAATGATGAACTCAAATTTGTCCTCCCCCCTCCCCCCCCCGCAATTTTTGGATGGAATAATGTAATGGCCTTTTGCTGCGCCCGTACATGTGGGTATTTTTTGTTGTTGCGGGAAATCCCCATCTGGGATGGCCCTTACGAATCCCATTACTCTTAACCATCCACGCCAGAAATGTCTCTGCCACGTCTGTGTTTCCTCCTCTTCTTCCTTTGTTATTCAATCTCCTTGCTCAACAATTTTGACGCAGAACACGACCCTCTCCTCTCTCTCTCTCTCTCTCTCTCTCTATTTCTGTGTCTCTATCCCTTTCTCTCTCTATCACTGTCCTCCTCTATCTTCACTTCTCTGGCCCGCCTTTCCATCCTCACATCTGCCGAAATGAACTCTCTTGCGATCCCTCTATGAACTCTCTTCCTCTCCCTTTTAACTTTCTTTTTCTCTTCCTCCCCTCCCCTCCCCTCCATCTTCTCACCGGCTCCACAACCCTCCTCTTGTCTGCCACGGGTCTTCTGTACAGTCTTCGATTTGTGCGCAAGGGCCACACTGTGACGACCACCTCGCTGACTTGTTGCGCTGTATGCAATTACAGCCGTTGAATTTTTTGATGGATGGATAGGAGGGTTGCAGGTATAACCTGACATATTGGTCAACGGAGGAGGGTTGTGCACATAGCGCACAAGTAGCTACACTGCCTGCTCTTCGCAGCTGAGTTTTGAAAAATTGCGTAGCCATTATAACGTTTTTAAGCAAGAATTCGCTTTGGCAACGAAATATATCGTATTTGTTATCCTACGTTGCTGCTAGTTCTACTTAGTGTGCGTTATATCTGCTCTTTCTTTTTTCGAAGTTTTTTTTTTTTTTTTTGAGTTCTCTTTTCCAAGTTAGTATTACTGTATTGGCCGATTTCGAGAACGCGTGTTAGAGGTCGAAGAGCAGCGGATGGAGTGGTGGACATGCGGAAGGGTATTCTTTTTGCCGTTATTGACGATTTTTGTTCGATGGAGGGTAAATTGTGACCTACCTGATAGATAAGAAAGATAGGATAAGATACATATAGACAAGATAGAGGATAGATAGAAGTGCTGCAGTTCGGCCGAACAACTGCTGCGAAATCAAATACAGGAAACATTGGTCAATTCACCTCAGCATATATGTCCTTCACTTTTTTCATGATACAACCGATGCACGTCCTTCCCCTCCCTTTCCCCCAAACCCTCCAAGATGTAGGGTGCTTTGATCATCAAGGGGGTTATGCATGTTGCAAACCGTGTCTTCACCTCAGCGCGGCCATTTTTCCTGTTCCATTGAGATCTTATCTGCTGTTCTATTCAAATCGTAACTGGGGTTATCTACGGCAGGGGGCGTTCTGCGACCAGGGGCGAGGTCTACTTCCCAATTCCCATCCGTCCCCAGCTCGTCTACTCTCTCTCTCTCTCTCTCTCCCCCCATCTGTCCCCCGGTTGTTTACTCTCTCTCTCCTTCTCTCTCTCTCTCTCTCTCTCTCTCTCTCTCTCTCTCTCTCTCTCTCTCTCTCTCTCTCTCTCTCTCTCTCTCTCTCTGTGTGTGTGTCTCTCTCTCTCTCTCTCTCCGTCTCGCCAGCTCTTTCTCTCCCCGTCCGCAAGAAGCCTGTTTGAAGGGAGGGGGGAAGGGAAATGGGGTATGTTGCAAACTGTGTCTTGACATCGGCGTGGGTATTTTCGCTGTTCCATAATTGAGATCTTATCGACTGTTCTATTCAAATCGTAACTGCGGTTATCTACGGCAGGGGGTGTTGTGCGACCAGAAGCGAGGTCGCACACCACTTCTGTCTTCCCCCGACGATGAATGTACACAAGCGAGGTTTCCGGTCCCGTACAGTCAAAATGAGGCCGCTTATGTTCTGGGGAAGGACGGTAGGGCGGTGTAAGAGAGAGTGTACCTAGATAAAGAAGATCGACGGTCATTATCTTCTCTTCTTTCAATGCGTGTGAGTGAGACCTCGCCACATCATTTCCGGGGCAAGGTCCCACTTACACGAATTAAGCGATATTGACCTTAGATAGCAAAGATCAACGCCAGAATCTCTTAATCCGTGCAAGTGGGACCTTGCCCCGGTACCCAATCGAGGCGAGGATTGTTCTTCCCACACCAGACCTTAAATTTACTCAGACGCTTTTCAAATTTAAATCGATTTGACCCTTGCTTTTTTTTTTCTTTTTCTTTTCCGTGTCTTCCCCATCTTTCTTCTTTACGTAATCTAGACCATTTCCGGATTTCTGCGTGTCATTCCATGATTGCGAAGCGGCCAAGCTAAATAATAGAGCTTCTCTGTATCATTCCATTTTTAACGGATTTCGTTTTTTTTTTTTTTTTTTTTTTCTTCTCCGAAGTTAGAACTGGGGGCCTTACGAAAACTGCATGGGGCTGTACCACTATGGAGTTGGGCCTCTATCAGGGGTTTTTCCCAGACGTCTTTATGCACAGCTAGACATTACGCGTGTGACCATCGGGCCGTTGTCGGTTTTGGTTGAATATTCCGATAAAGACCGCAGTGGAATTCTCCAAAAAAAAAAAAAAAAAGGTAAAAAAAGTTCCCGAAATAGAGGAAACATAATTGGGCTTGAATAAGCACCAAATCTGAAAGACCCCTGGCCGGTATCGCCCACCTGCTGTAGCAGGTATCGCACCTGCTGGTGGGTGCAGCTCCAGCATGTTCCCTCGTTGGAGTCTTGAGGTCGGATGTGGGTGCTACGGGGTTCCCCGTAATATTATAATGACAATAAAAAGGAAGGCCTGAAAGGCCGTCCTGTCCAGATTTCCGACAGGTATTTGAATTGGATGGGCTTAAAAGAATTAGCCTTTTTAAAAGAGGTCGTGCGTGGCACGTGGCATTAGAGGGATTTCTGATATGCACGTGCGTGACACGTGGTGCATATTATTAGTAGTAGTAAGTTAGTGTGTGAGGCGTGGCCCATTGACGGAGGAATCTGATATCGTATGTGTCGGTGCGACTTGTGGTACCATTCTGACTCCGCAGCAGCAGGCAGTTTAAAACGTGTTCAATCAAACATATAAGATTGATTAAATCTTATGGAAGGTCATTAGATCCTCTTTTTTTTAAAAGTGTCTCGTTTTATGGTTTTCGTTAATCATCGTCTGTTTTTAGATTTTATTGTTTGTTTGAGGTTAATCATCTTTCTTTCTTTCTTTGTTTTTCTTTTTTTTTCCCTTTTTTTCGAGAACACAGCCTCTGATCTATTCGTGGGGAGCCGCACGTGGTGGGCAACGGGCCCAACGTCCCTATAATGAGAATATAATAAGAAAACTGATGTTAATCATCTCTCTATATTTAGTTACTCATCTGTTTTCAGTTTTTTTATTGTTAGCTGGAGGTTCTGGCATCATGTTTCCTTTACTTTCTCTCTCTATTCAGGACCGCCTTCTGTGTGCCGTTCACACGTTGGGTGGTAAAAGTCCTCCTTTTCTGTTTCAGGAAAGCTTCTTCCTTTTCTGTTTTAGGAAAACTTGGATTTGCTAGGAATTCAATTCAATGGTAGATCGTAGATGAATAGAGCGTAGGTACGGGGGTGTCACTGAACACGTCCTCCCATCCAAGCACTTCGCAAGGACTTCATATTAGTACGAGGGGGGGCTGCGATTTGTTGAGAAACTATAACCCCAGTTAAGAGTGATGTGGTATCCGCATCCAGGTGCAGTGCTTATGCTGCGGGTGAGGGGGGTTAGACATGGGAGGAAGGCAGTAGTGTGTCCCAAGGGAGAAAGAGGATGAAGGGTGGGCCCACCGCGGCGAAGGAAAAAGAGAATAAGAAAGGGTTAGCGGGAGTTGACGGTGGGTAATGGCGGCAGAAGAAGAAGAGGATGAAGAAAGGCTTAAGAGAGGTTGAGAGTGTCTGTACGCTGTCTATTTCTCGTTTACTGGCAAGTAATGTCGTCATAGCGAGTCCCTTAGTGCTGAGACAAGCCGACGGGATCCTCCCTGGAGCACTCGACAACTTCTTTGACCATTAGCAAACACCGAACGATAGTTACTTGGGCTCATTAGACCGGAGCTGACAGCAGACCCTATTACCTACCCTCCCTCCCTACCTACCTACCCACCCATTACAGATTGGACGAGACCAATCGTGTAGAAGACACACACACACACACACACACACACACGGCTCAGTCAGATGTCCCGACGACGTTGGCGATTTCTTACCCGTCAACCGTCCTCTCTTTTTATTCTCTTTTTCTGTGTGTGTCTTTGTGTGTGTGTGTGTGTGTGTGTGTGTGTGTGTGTGTTTGTGTGTGTGTGT